GGGGGGAAGAAAGGCCAGAAACACCGCCCTTTGTCTAGGCTCCTCCCATGATTCCAGGGCCCCATTGAGCTGTGACAGTTTAATGGGTCACTGCAGGCATCTGCTAGGCCCACACTGGCTCAGCACCACACTGGCTGTTAGCAGCTCTCACCGGGTGTAGTTGCCATCATCGATGACTGTTCCAAACTCAATCAGGCCCTCGTCCAGGGTGTAGACCACAGTCGTCACCCCTTCGGTCACCATCACCTCTGTCTTCCCTCCACCTCGCTCCAGACCTACAACGTCACCCTGCACAGTATACAAAGAGTGGCATCTAGTTCTTCAGTAGGAAACAGACTTAGGGGTGTGTGTGCACGCACAGACTGTGGGTGCATGTGTGACTGCACTTGTCCACATGAGCAGGCCAGGAGACACGCTCGGGTGTCACTCCTCAGCTGCTTCCACCCTTTCTTTCTTCAACCAGGATCTCAGCTTGGCCCTGGAATTTACCAAGTAAGCTGGGCTGAGCCCCAGGGGTCTGCCTGTCTCTGCCTCTCCAGCTCTGGGATTTAAGTGTGCACTAACACGCTTCACTTTCTTGCTGTATGTTCTGGGGCTCAAACTCAGGCCCCTCTACTTGAACAGCAAGCACTTTACCAAATGAGTTATCTTCTCAACTCTTAGACTGATATTCTTTTTAAAGTATATTATTTTGTCAGGCAGTGGTAGTACACACCTTTAACCCCAGCACTCAGGAGGCAGAGGCAGGTGGATCTCTGTGAGTCTGAGGACAGCCTGGTCTACAGAGTGAGTTCCAGGACAGCCAGGGCTGCACAGAGAAACCCTGTAATATATATCTATATAATTACTTTTTCACGTTTATTTATTTAGCATGTGTGTGTCCATCCATGTGGGCTCTGAAGACTGAACTCAGGTCATCAGGCTTAGCAGCAAGCACCCTTATCCATGGAACCATTTCCCCAGGCCCCAGACTGAGATAGTCTTGGGGGTCCTCCAGTTAAATTACAACTTGAACCTGAACCCAGAACATACATTTCTTTTCCGGCACTGCTTAGTTCACGTGACAAAATCACTAAGACTGTTCCCCACCTCTATGCTACCCATCCCCCTTTAAAAAATAAAAAAAAACAACCAAAACAAAACAAATCAGTAAAATGACATTTTTTAGCTGGGTGGTGGTGGCCAACGCCTTTAATCCCAGCACTTGGGAGGCAGAGGCTGTGAACTCTGTGAGTTCAAGGCCAGCCTGGGCTACTAGAGCTAGTTTCAGGACAGGCTCCAAAGCTACAGAGAAACCTGTCTCAAAAAACAAATAATAATAATAATAATAATAATAATGATAATAAATAAACAATAAAAAAGAGAAAAGACAGAAGGGCAAAGGCCAAAAGCTAAAATCTGAGCAGCAGGAAAGGGGGTGCTGCTCTGAAGGCAAATGCATGTATCCGACAATGAGCCTCGGGCCTTCAGCAAGTGGATGGGCTGAGTCAGTCTCTGAGTAAACCCAGCCTAGCCTGTTCTGTAGCAAAGGGCACCAAAGCAAGCGGAGCACAGCCTTACCATGGATTCTGATTGCTACAGAAGCAAACAACCATCTCAGCAGGAAAACAAGTAGAGACTGCCTTCAAAGTAACATGTGGGTGTATGTGTGCAAGCACACACACATACAACACAACCAGTATGAAAGAATAAATTGCAATTGTAAACAATAATTTTAGGTCTTTAAGCATTTTAGATATTAAAAATGGCAGTTATAGATAATGCATTGTAATAAAATTAAATATTACATATTTGAAGATATAAAAATGACATGGAAAATTAACTAAGGAAAGACTGGAGTGGCTGGGCATACTGGAAAAAGAATCAAATAAAATTTTATGAAAGTGAAGCCTGAGACATTGAACATGGAGAAGTTCCTGGCCCAAATTTAACTCTGAAGCAAAACCCCAATTGTGGCATAAGCAGCAGACAAGGAAAAGAGTGAGCCAAGGAGCTGAAGGAGAGATCTGAAGATACTATCTGGAATGTTCATGGAGCAGAAGAAGGAGACACAGAAGAAGCTGAAAAGGCAAACAAGATGGAACAAGAAACGTAGCATATGCTGAGTCAGAATTCCTGGGAGAATGGTAACAGCGTTCCGAGAGAGAGTGGCCGAGAAGTTCCCAAGACTGAGCACGATGTGTGTGTTCAGAACTACATGAAACCCAACATATGCTGCATGGGATATCATTTAAATTCATGTAAAAAGCTGGAGTACAGCTCAGTACCAGAGAATTTACTTCTAATGTACAGGTTCAGTCGCTAGCCATCCACTGCAAAAACAACCCCCAAACCCTCTAACCCGATGGGTGGCCCGTGACTACAGTCCCTATCTCTCAAGAGGCAGGGCAGGAGGACAGCCTGGGCCCCGAAATCTGAGGCCAGTCTGTGTGATATGGCAAGACACCTTCATGAGGAAAAATACTATGTACAAAAATTGTAGTCAAGTGTCAAAACATCCAAAAAAAAAAAAAAGTAGGTTTTAGGAGCAACCAAAGGGACAAGAGTAGATAGTTCAGAGATTAAGAACACTGCTATGGCAGAGGGCCCAAGCTTGGTTCCCAGTACACACGGGCACTCACAGCAAGTGGCCAGTACCTCCAGCTCTGAGGAGTCTGATGCCCTCTTCTGGCCTCAGCAGGCATTGCACACATGTGCACAACACATGTTATCTATTGGGATAACATGTTACAAAAAGCTAAGAAAAGTTAGCTGTCAGTTTGAAGTTGGGTACTTAGTCCCAAAGCGTTTTTAGAACAAAAGCTAAACAAAGCTACTTTCAGATCATCAAAACCTGAGAGAGTATAATCTTCCACTAAAGAGACCCTCACCAAAGGGATTTCTAAGTGATATTCTCCAGGCAGAAAATTAATTCCTGAGGGGAGACCAAAACTGCAAGAAGCAAAAGTAGGAAGAAATATGGTAGTGGGGAAATCTAAGTTCTGTCCATATAAGGTAATAGTGTCATAAATCATGTGTGGTGGCCCGTGTTTGTGATACCAGCACTCATGGAGGCCAGCCTGGGTTACAAGTTCCAGTTCCAGGTCATTCAGGGAGGAAGGAGAGGAGAGAAAGAATGAGACATTGAATATGAATGATGCCCATTTTGGGAGTTAAAAAAAATCTTATAGCAAGGCATGGCGGCCCAGATCTTTAATCCCAGCACTCAAGTACTTAGGAGGTAAAAGCAGAGGAATGGGAGGGAGGAGAGGGAGTGGGAACTGGGATTGGCATGTAAAATGAAAAAAAGATTGTTTTCTCTCTTAAAAAATTAAATAAATAAATTTTTTTAAAAATATCCCTCAAAAAACAAAACCAAACCAAACCAAAACAACAACAAAAAACCCCACACAAAAAAAAGAAAGAAAAGCCGGGCGGTGGTGGCGCACGCCTTTAATCCCAGCACTCGGGAGGCAGAGGCAGGCGGATCTCTGTGAGTTCGAGACCAGCCTGGTCTACAAGAGCTAGTTCTAGGACAGGCTCCAAAACCACAGAGAAACCCTGTCTCGAAAAACCAAAAAAAAAAAAAAAAGAAAAAAAAAAGAAAAACAAAACAAAAACCTATCAAAACTAAAGGAACCCTTTACTACTCCTGGAAGCGCAGTGGTAAATACTTGTGCAGTGTGCCTGGGTTTGATTCCAGCACAGCAGCAGCAACGAAGATTAGCACTAAGAACCATTGAGAAGGTCGACAGGTAGAGGCGCCTGTTGGCCTGCATTCACTCCTGGGACCCGCATGGTGGGAAGAGCAGACTCCCACAAGTTGTCCTCTGGCCTCCATAGATGCATACACACATACACAAAATAAATAAATGTAATTTAAAAATTTAAAGGTTAGAATGAAAATATTGTTCAACAAAGAAAAAAGAGAGGTAACCAAAGCCAAAGCCTTGCAAGGTCCTATATTATTTGTGGGGAGAGAGAAAGTTACATGGTGGCTAACTTGAGAGCCTTCAAGGGCTTGCATATGAGTGTGTGGTATGTGTGTGGTGTGTGTGTATGTGTGTGTGTGTGATGTGTGTGTGGTATGTGTGGTGTGTGGTGTATTGTTGTATGGTGTGTATGTGTGGTATGTGGTGTGTGGTGTCTGTGTGTGGTATGTGCTGTGTGTGTGGTGTGTGGTGTGTGTGTGGTATGTATGTGGAGGATGTGTGTGTGTGTGTGTGTGTGTGGTGTGTGGTGTGTGTGTGGTATGTGGTGTGTGTGTGGTGTGTGTGTGTGGTATGTATGTGGAGGATGTGTGTGTGTGTGTGTGTGTGGTGTGTGGTGTGTGTGTGGTATGTATGTGTGTGTGTGTGGTATGTATGTGGAGGATGTGTGTGTGTGTGTGGTATGTGCTGTGTGTGTGGTGTGTGGTGTGTGTGTGGTATGTATGTGGAGGATGTGTGTGTGTGTGTGTGGTGTGTGGTGTTGCGATGGGACAGTAAAGAGTGTTTTATGTGTAATTTGAAAAAGGAGGGATTTTGAATGGCCAAGAATAAGGACAAGGATGATGGCATGGAACCATCCCTCCTACTGGGGTCTGTCTTCTAGACTGCAAAGAATGCCATATGGTGACTTTAAATAGTCCCAGGGCCACTGGAATGTGGCCTCATCTCTAGGAATGCAACACAAGGTCAGGAAACGCAAGCAAGGATAATTCTGGAGGCCATGCCAGTATGGGGAGGGGGTAAAAGTTTGGCTTGCCAGTTTTATCATAGTGATTGTGGGTGGTGGGTTGAGAACACCACACGGTCTCCACATACTTCTCCTTGGAGCGCTAATGAGTTAGAGCGACACACCTGGGCCTCCTGGCACCAACGTACCCTGATAGAGGACATGGTGACTCTCTCGGGTGCCTCAATGTTGTACCACACACACAAGCTGTTTCGGTTCTGGGCTACCAGCACATCGCTCCCGGGAACCCACTGCACGTAGGAGCAGAAGTTGAAGATCATTGTCTTGGAGCAGCTTTCAATATCATATAGATACAACTGGAGAGGGAGACAGCACAATTAGGAGGCGTGCACTGATGACATTTGGTTCTGTCCCTTTCCCCCACAGTGAAATGATCCACCAGTCAGTTATGTGTTGAGTTGCCAGCCCTTGGAGTTTGTGCTAAGTTGGTATATCCTGACTGGTCAAGTATGAGATGACCAAACAACCACGATCTAATTCAAGCTATAGTCAGGTGAAGGTCAGACAGGAGAGTAACCCTGGGCCAGATTAGCAGGTAGGGCTACAAACAAACTAAGTGAGCTGACAGTCTGCAGTGAGGCTCTCACTGGAATGAAGCATCACAAGAAAAGCGAACCTCTTTGGAGATGCCACCCTGACAAGAGACTGCTCGAGTCAGTGTCCATGCCTTCAGCTAAGTGTGGCTGAAGCACACTGCGGCAGTGGGATGGGGCAAAGGGCAGCTGGACCTGAGGAGGGGAAGCAGCTTCACGAGGATGCAGCCTGTAAACAGTCTCTGTCAGGGTCCCTAGGTCAGGTTCTGACAGCGTATAGACTATCCTTCGTCCACTTTGCTATGCTAATGGCATATGGAACCAAGAACTTATGTCCTGCATTGCCCCCACAGTCCCAGGTAACAGCTTGTGGACCAGCCCAGGCCTAAAACCCTAGTAACCCCTCTCACACGAAGTTTCCGATCCCTGAAGAGAAGCTTGTGCCCAGTCTCATTAAGTTCCAGCCAATCCACACGGCTCTCGTGACTGATAGTACCAATGTTGTAGCTGCCAATCAGATCCACTGCAAAGAAGACAGGGTAAGAAGAGCGAACCCCACCATGTAGAGGGCTGCATTTGGTCTCTAGAATGCTGGCTTTATAATCATGTTGGGATTTAGGAACATTTTATCAGTCCAGAGGTATCAATGGGGACCACAAATGACCAATATTGCACGATTTTTCTAAGATGCTTAAAAAACTGGGTCTTGCCAAGTGTGGTGGCACACACCTTTAATCCCAACATGCAGGAGGCAGAGGCAGGTGGATCTCTGTGAGTTTGAGGCCAGCCCGGTTTACTGAGAGAGTTCAAGCACAGTCAGGAACAGCTAAGGCTACACAGAGAAATACTGTCAATAAACTTGTCTAGAATTATAAATGTTTTACTTGGCTTTATAGGCAACTAGATAGAAGATCTCATGGAGAAATGGTGGTACACTGCTATAACCCAGCCCTCAGAAAGAGTGGGGGTTTGAGGCCAGGCCCTTCTATGTAGGCCAGTTCCAGCTGCCTCGTTTGACCCTGTCTTGAAAAGACAGTGAAAGAGGGTGACCGTGTTACTGAGTACCAGAGAGAGCTGAGGAATGAAATGACCTGGTGATGTCACCCTGGCTGCGCGGAGTCACCAGAGCAGTGGATGCACAAGTGAGGCGACGAAGAAGGAAGCCCTGAGGAGAGCTCACTCAGTGAAGCTCAGTGGCTCACACCCAGAGCTCAAGCACAAGGCAAAAAGGCTGATGCAGGAGCATAACCAATGGGACCAGCCGGCAGACAGACTGATAACCTGGAGACAGAAATTATGACAGTAGACATGGTGACTCATATCATACTGACTATAATCCCAGTACCCAGGGGTCTGAGACAAGAGGACCAGAAATTCAAAGCCAGTCAGGGCAACATGAGACCCTGCCTTCAAACACTGAAAAACAACACAGCAACCAAAGCCAAACCAAGCCAAGTCTGCTAGAGCCTCCAGGACCACATAGGGACCCTGAAATTACATATAAATTACATTAAAAGGGACCGGTGACTCAGAGAACCGACTATCATTTTACACATATTGAAAAATATGTAAAATTCATGGCGTGAGCGAATGGACGGGTCTGAGGTCTGAGTTATCACCGCCACGAGAATTAGGCCTCCTGGCCTACATATCATTCCCAGTGCAGATACCTGCGTTTCTGAGCTCAGATGTGAAATGTAATATTCATGAAATAGGAAACTATCTTAAGAAGAGGCCCATATGTATACGAAAGCTTGTCTTATGACAGGGATGGTATAACAAATTAGTAGGCTTTCAGTAAATGGTTACACAGATGGAAAAAATAAAGTTAAAACCCTACCCACATCACATACAAAAATAAATTCCAGATGGAAAGCAAAACTTAAGAATGTTAAAATATAGGAGGGAATATGGGGAAAAGTTTTTAAATGAGACCTCAAAAACCAGCAATTACTATTACTATTATTTTGGCAGCACTGGTGATTGAACACAGGGCTCCCCTGCACTCTGCCATTCAACTACATCCCTAGACTCAATTTTTTAAACTAAGAATTTGTTAATTACATTTTTAGTTCTTTGTTTCTATTTTGTAAGGAGCACACGTGGAAGTCAGAAGACAACTTGCAGGAGTTGGTCTTCTCCTGAGGGACTAAAGCTGAGTCATCAGGCTTGGACCAGTATCTTTAGAGGCTGAGTCATCCCATTGGCCCTTCAATTAATACTTAAAGGTGTGTGCTACAGGGCCTGAGTCTGATCCTCTAGACCCACACAGTGGAAAGGAGGGATCTACCGCCTCAGAGTGTCTTTTTTTTTTTTCAAGACAGAGTCTCCCTGTGTACCTTTGGAACTTGCTCTGTAGACCAGGCTGGTCTTGAATTCATAGAGATCCACCTGCCTCTGCCTCCTGAGTTCTGGGATTAAAGGTGTGTGTCACCACTGCCCGCTTCTCAGGTTGTCTTTTGACTTCTACTTGAGTGCCATGGCATAATGCTTCCCCCAACCGGTTCCATTACATAAATAACTACAATAAAATTTTAAATGTCTCAATACTAAAGATACCTAAAAGAGAGAAAACTCAAGCCACACATACTGAGAAAAAAACTACAATGTAAGTAACCATCAGAGGTTATATACAGAATTTCACATCTCTAACAAAGAGGCCACTTGACTTTCACAATGCATAAGGGATGAGAAACTGGAAGTCACAGAAGACAAATCCAAGTGAACAATAAGTAAGTGAAACGGCATTGCACACACACCATGCATTTCAAGTCCTGGAGAGGATGTGGAAGAATAGGAACTCTGACTGGGAGAGGAACGGACATTGATCGTCCTCTTTGGAGAGCAATGGGAGACACTTAGTCAGGCTGAAGGCACAGCTGCTCCTATGATTCAGCAATTCTGCTCTAAGCATGGACCTCAGCAAGTAGCAGTAATGTGATTAAAACCACACCAAACAACAAACCCCCCAAACAACTAGGGGTTGAAGAAATGGCTCAGTGGTTAAAAGTACTGACTGTTCTTCCAGAGGACCCAGGTTCAATCCCCAGCACCCACATGGCAGCTCACACCCACCAAGTTCCAGGGATCCCACTGCCCTCATTTGGCCTCCAAAGGCATAAGGAACGCACATGGCGCACAGCCATACATGCAGGCAAAATAGCCATTCAACTAAAATAAACCTTTAAAAAATTAATACTCAGCAGGCTGTGGCAGCACACACCTTTCGTCCCAGTACATGGGAGGCAGAGGCAGGTGGATCTCTCTGATTTCGAGGCCAGCCTGGGCTACAGAGTGAGTTCCAGGTCAGCCTGGGTTACACAGAGAAACCCTGTCTCAAATAAAATAAAATAAAACCAAATCAAACAATGAACCCCCCCCAAACAAACAAACAAAGAAACAAAAAACCACTCTAAATGCTCATGAGTAAGAGATGAGGTAAAAAATTAATATAAATGCAACAAAAAGTTCTGACTTAACAGCACTAGGCGTGGATAAGCAAGTATTAACAATAGGTCATGACTCTCAGCAGCTGGACTTTATTAACGATTATGTGGCAGGGAAGGATGAGTGCTTCCCTCTGACATAGGTGCTGTCTTCGTTCACTGTGTGGGTTAAGACACTAAGAAAGACGAAGTAACTTTGGTAAGCTCACAGAGCAGTAAGTACGGACAGGGTAGCTGACGCCAGTCCCATCCTTACAGACATACTATGTGGCATGCTCGTCTCTACACCTTCTGCACGATCCTAAGCTAGTCTTAGTTCTTCCTTCCATGCTTGGAACATTTGGTGACAGAAATCATAAAGTGGAGATTGTGAAATGCAAATTACATTTCTATTGTTACTAGTTACTAATAATAAGGGTTATTAATAACATAAATATAAAAAATACAGTCTTTCCAGTTCTAAAGAGTCTAGGATTAGATAATGTCTAAACAGGAAAATCCCTAAATTTAGCAGGGAATCGCGGCTACTCACATTCTCATTTTCAAAGAAATATTTCTCATTGCCACCAGATCCCTGCCAGGCTATCTGCAAAGTGAGGAGAAAACATCATAGACAATGTAGACAATCACCCAAGACAAGGCTGGAGGATGTCAGTGGCAAGGAAGAGAGATGGTATTCAAGGAGGTTTTGAAGTTACACAAAAGGTGCTCTGTATCAGACTCTTGCCCTGATCCTCATATTTCCAAGAGAAACCAGTCTGACTGTGGAAGTTTATATTCCAGGAAATAATATCAGAATGGTATCCTATGGGGAATCTTACTTCTTAGGGCCCGCACCTTCAGAATTAGCAAGCCAAGACATCCCATTACCCACCATTCCTCTCTCGGTTCCTATCTCACTGAGGTGATTGGTGTTCAAGTCTCCGAGCAGCAGTGTGTCCGATGTGTGAGCCACCAAGTACCGTTCCTTCCCCAGGATCTTCACCTCTTCTACCTCATAGCAATAGAGGGACTTGAGCACCACCCTGGTCCCTGAAGACAGGTTCTTCACTATCACCTGGGAAGGGACCAGTCCAACCCATCAGGCTTTCCCAGAGCAGGAGAAGAGTGAAGGTGCTCTGGTCCCTCACGCAACTCCAGGATACCTTGTTTCTCCCTCGGCCTGGGATGCTGTTGCTAAGGACAACACTTGCACCCACACAGGGGTTTGCTACCTAGGAAATACTTCCCCATGGCCTGGGCTGTCCATGGCCATTCGATTCTGAGAGCTCTACTCGGTAACACTAATCACTCACTTTGTTCCCACACTTCTTAGTACAAAGCTCTTTACCAATGAAGACAGAATACTATATCATCGTTACTGTTATATAATTATGAGCCTATTATTATCGTTATTATATCATCATGTGCCTAAGATGACCTCCAACTGCCCATCCTCCTAAATGCTAAGATTTTCTTTCTTTTTCTTCCTCTTCTACTTGTTTTCTTTTTTGAGACATGTAGCCCTGGTTGGCCTGGAATTTGCTATATAGACCAGGCTGGCCTCAAGCTCACTGGCCACATACCAGAGCACAATGTCTTTTTTACAAAGAATTTGAATTACATGTGTGGGTGTGCACAAAGGTGAGTGCAGGTGCCGGATGTCGGAAGAGGGTGTTGATCCCCAAGGCTGAAGACCCAGTGATTGTGAGACACTAACATGGTGCTGGGAACTGAACTTGTGTTCTCTGTAAGAATAGTAAGAGCCGTATCTCTGGCCCTGGTGTGATGTCTTACAGATAAATTACCTTTGTACTCTCAGCCCTTAACAGATCTAACACAGCAGAGAAAGGATAAACATTTCTGGAGAGACTGGAAAGATCCAGGAACAAACTGGTAATAAGAGCAAGGGAAGGGAAGTGGGAGAGTGAGACGCGTGCCTCTGGGACAACAGAGTCCTGCGCACTACAGTTCGCCAGTGATCATACACGTCCACAACTCTAGTGGGCGGTGCTGAGAACAGCTTCACACTGGGGAGATACAGGCACCAATCCCTGTATCTCTTGAGCCAGGTGTGAAACCTTTGCTTGCGATGGGTTAGAACAACTACGTAGCAGGAGGGTTGCCAGAAGTTGCCCTGACACATTCAGTTCCCTACGATAGCTCTGCCACAGGGAGGAAGGTTAAATTTGACACTGTGGCTGTGGCCAGCAGGTGGGGGAAATGTTACAAGGACAGATGAGCCACGAGAGGTCTCAGCATGCTAGGTCATCAGCTGCTCACCTGGCTGGGTCCCACATACGTCAGCTCAAACTTGTTCTTGTAAATACTCCTTCGGAGGCAGCAGTCAAACTGTTCCACCCCACCACAGAGGGTGCCCTGAGAGAGAGAGGGACAGCATGGAAGGCGATGCACGGCGCGCTGGCCAAGGACGGTATCTGGATATACCCCAAGACCTCAGACCTCAGTGTCACAATCTAGACAGAAGTGGCCAGCAAAAGGGTGGGCAGGTTCTGAACATATCAGAAAAAAAAAAGTGGCAATCCCAGGACTTACAGGGATCACATGTGGGTTGGACAATGAGGGGAAATCAGGCTGTCCTGGACAAGCGTGTCCCTCAAGGCCTCCTGGAAAGTGTGAGTTTCCCTTTCCTGCCTTTAACAGTAGATTTTTTTAGGTTGAAGTCACAAGGCAGCTGGAGTTCTCTTGTGTCAGAGTAGAGCGACTCCCTTGGCATAGGGAGTAGTTTCTATTTTACTGTAGTTTGGAGACAATCGCCAGTACAGGAAGGGGCTCCTAACAACACACCGCACAGAGCCGGGAGACGTCCCGCTTCCACGCCAAGGCTGTGATGGTGTATAAGTTGGCAATCTCCTTGGGCTTGGCCTCTTCCCAGATGCTTCTTCGAGGACTCCAGTTGAACACCCGGAGTCTAGAAAGGTAAAGAGTGAAAATAGACCAGAACTGATAGGGAAGCATCTCACTCTACCAGAAAGGGAAGCAAACGCAAAAGGGCAGACCAGCGAGGCAGCCCAACGGGAGGGGAAAAGGTGCGGGGAGTTGAGGGAGTAGGGGTGAAAGGAGCAGGTAGAAGATGGATGCCAGGTGTGGTGGTACACGCCTGTAATGCCAACAGGAGAGAGGCAGAGGCAGGAGGATCACTGTAAGTTGGAGGCCAGCCTGGTCTACCCAGTGAGTTACAGGCTAGCTGGGGCCACAGAATGAGACCCTGTCTCAAAAACCAACAAGAACACAAAAGCCAGAAGTAGAGACACCAGGACAGCAGGACAAGTGAGACAAACAGACGGCCAGGAGAGGGAAGAGGAAGAAACAGAGTGTAGGAGTCAAAGAAGGACGGAACCTAAGGAGACATGTGAGATTGGAAGGACATAAAGACAGACAGACAAAGAGACCTGACCCTAGCTGCTTGGCTGTTTCTTTATTCATTCACCAAATGGCGGCTACATTAAAGACCATGCCAGTGCAGGCACTGGCGATGAAGACGGCTACTTAGTCTTCCTCTCAAACTAGAACACAATGGCATAGTGGGGACAAGGCAGGGGGACATGGGGAACGCGATGGCCTCTGCTGTGGAGTCCAGGCTGAGTCGGCACAGCGCATCCTGAAGCAGACGACAATCTGAGAATCCCTTTCAACAGACATTGCTTCTGTCCAGGTTCCCGCTGCAGTTCAGAACTTGGCTAGGGCAGAGCTCACAGAGAAAGGTAGAAGATGCAACTGGGCCGGGCGATGGTGGTGCACGCCTTTAATCCCAGCACTCAGGAGGCAGAGGCAGGCGGATCTCTGTGAGTTTGAAGCCAGCCTGGTCTACAAGAGCTAGTTCTAGGACAGGAACCAAAAGCTACGGAGAAACCCTGTCTCGAAAATCAAAAAAAAAAAAAAAAAAAAAAAAAAGATGCAACTGGCCGGGGGACCTACCTGTCGTAGCTTCCTAGCACGACAGACTGGCCTCCAGGACTTGCTGAAGCTGTGGTGAATTCATGCTCCTGAGGATTACGGCTGTAGTCAAAAGTCTGTAGCACGTGGCCTTCCTTTCCATAGGCCACAATCCTCCGATCACAGCCTGCTGCCACGATGCTGTTGGTTGCCCAAGCCAAGGCATACGGTGGGCATGGGTGGTTAACCACCTTCCCCTGGGACAGACAGAATATTTCAATTGTTCGTTGCGAATGCTAGGCTAGCAGCTGTTCCACACACTCCTGATCATCCCACCCCGGAGAGAAAGTGAGCCTTCCTGCCAGCATTTCCCACATCAACACGCCCGAATTCTGAAGGCTTCACAGCCTGTCTCTGTATCATGAGCACACGCATGCCATGTGTACACGGGCCGTGTACTCACAGTGGTGTGTTGAGACCTCTGGTACGTACTAGTAAAGCCACCCAAAGAGAGACGACACACAGTAACCAACACTGTCTAGGTCCAAGAGAGTACATGGCTTCAAGAAGGGCTAAATTGAATTATGTGGGTAACTCACAATGTAAACGATTCCACAGTACTAAATTATACAGAGAAAAACAGCAAAGTTTCCCTGTATGTCTATCTTTTCTTTTTCCAAAAAAATAGTTAATTCTTTAACATCTTATTTATTTGTGTGTGTTTTTGTGCGCACATTTGCATATGTGCACACATGGTCGAAGGGCAGAGGATGACTTGCGGAAGTCACTTCTGTCCTTGCATGGCAAGGGTCCTGTCAGGTTTGGCACTGGGCACCTTTACCTGCTGAGGTATCTTGATGGGCTGTTAACTTCTTTCTCCTATGCATTTGGATGTATATACATTACACAAACATGTATATATATATACATATATACATACATTTGTGTATATGTATGTATTTACATAAATGGAAATAATTTTCACTTTTTGTCCCCCTTATAGTCTTTATTTCCCTTCTTTCAAGGTCCCTTCCGCCCACTCCTCCCTATAAATAGTGAGTTCTAGCCTCCTGAACACCAGTCTCTGTGATGGCACCAAACGTTTCTCTCCAAGATCGCCCTTTTCCAGTGATGGTGCTTAAACCTGCAGCTTCCCCGGGAGGGCTCCTGGAATGTCCACCCCACCCCAGGGTGAGTGTGCGCCCTTCGTACCTGTGACCCTCCGGAGCCTTCATCATCGAACAAATACCTGACGATGGTGCTGTCTGCGTGACCTGAGAGGATGCCTTTCCCAGAGCAACTGAAGGGCAGAGGCAGAGAGGTGGGCACAGAGGGAGGGACTTCCGCCCCGTGACAGTCCCCTTTCCATCAAATGCAGCTTTGTCCTGACAGTCCCAGTCTACTTCTGTTACTCACTTGGTTGTCAGCGCCACCACATACGAGTCCGTCCCATAGATGGTAGACGACTTGTTAGTTTTAGTGTTTGCTAAGCGAACCTGAAAACCAAACAAGTCTGGCTAGGCTACTTACAGTGTCAGCCAGGCACAGAGAAACAGAAGTAAAAATGCCAAAAGACAAAATTTGTCCTCATGCATTTTTCTCAAGTACGCACTTGAGCTCCAGGGGAAAGATGAACCATATTGCCCGGCACCCCAGGACACTATCCCCCCCAATACCTAACCTGTGTCTCCCTCTCCTCCGTTACCTTGCCTTCAGCCAGTCCAAAGACAATAATGTACTCTGCAGGCCACTGTAGACAGGTGACTGCACTCTGTATGAGAAGGGGTGAAAGGGTGACCCGCCTGTGTGGACTGGCACACTCAGAACAACCGCCACCCACCACACACTGTCATTCTAGTCCTCTCCAGGGGGAAAAGGCAGGCAGCGGACACAACAAGGCTCTCAAGCAGGTGACAACACCATCCTTTAGCAGGTCAAGTCGGGGTCAGACATTGAAAAAGGCAACTCCTGTTACATTTACAAGGAGGGAAGCAGGTGCGGCTCACCTCTGAACTTTACCGTCTGGATGAACTTGTTACAGATGACCTTCTTGTCACCCCTGTCAGACAAAAGGCAAGGAAGTAACCTTAAAAATCACTTCCCAATGAACTGCCCAACATGGCCCTCTGTGGGAGGTCTGATGGAGAAGTGAGTGGGTCCCCAAGGAGCCCTGGAGCTATGCCAATGACACAGCATATCACTGGCTCTCGGGACCTTCTGCTGGCTTACACTCATCCCTCCAGGGATGGGACTGCAGGACAGGTGGGGCAGGCAGAGGTGGACACAATAGAATCAGGCTCTAGAGAGTCCCTGCCTTCCATGCCTGATGTCATCATTATCCCAGCGAGGTATTTCCCATGCCCAACTCTTCTTTAGTGGCCACAACCCGCCTAACCCCCATCCTGTCCTCACCAATCTTCTCCAATCTTGTAGGCATAGATGATGTTGTCAGTCTGTCAGATGGCAATTTTAGTGGAATCAGGGGAGAAAGTCATGCCCTTTACCATGTAGCTCTTCCAGCCACACTAGGAGTAAAAACAAAGATAATGAGTAGAAATGAAGGAGAAAAGAAAACACACACATTTCCCAAAAGACCAGAAAGTTTATAGCGAGAAATAGAGTAGACTATTGCCCATGTCTACGGCTAGAAGGCAGATCACACAGCTTTCTCGGATAACGTGTTGGAGCACATGCGAGTCCTCTCTACCTTCATGTCAGCTGGCTTGGTGGAGAACTTGTCTCTCCGCTCCCCATGCTCATCGTACAGCAATACCACTCGGTCCACTGTGCAGACAGCATATTTAGCGTTGTTCTGGGACCAGGCCATACAAGTCACCTTCGCAGCTCCATCCTGCAGAGGCAAAGGGGTACTGTAAACACAGCGCTGGTCTCCAGAGTACAGAGCGTCTCCAGGTCCATCAGTCTTCGTGTGCCTTTGTTCTACATCTACGTCACAGGTTTTCTCTCAAAACTAAACAAAATGAGACAAATTGCTCGGATACCTGAACTGTAAGAATAATAGTCTCCAGGGCCTCACGTGGCCCAGACGGACCTCAGATTCACTGTACGGTAGGGATGACTTGAACTTCTGATCCTCCTGTCTCTACCTCCTGAGTGCTAGGATTCCAGGCGTACACCACCCTGTCTAGTTTATACCATGCCGGGGACAGGACTCAGGGCTTCACTCGAGACAAGCAAACACTGTACTACCAGGCCACATCTCCTTGTCCCCTAATGTGTTTTTCTGAGACTCATGATACAAATGTAACGCATCAACCGTTCCAAAAGCAATGGCCTCCTTGTTCCTTCATCTTTCAGGTCTGCGACTGAAAAAAAAAATCAATTAATCTGATAAATTTTAGCCTTTATACCTACTCATTCAATTAATGTTTTCCAGTACTTTACTGTCAAAGACACTTGGCTGGAAGACGACAGAGAGACAAAGAGCAAAGCACAGATCCTACCCTAGGTTCTAATTGGACACTGAGAAATTGGAAATGTCCCATAAGAAAAATATGTTCTGAGTGTAGTAATAATTTAGAGAAGCCCAAGACAATTTTATGCTTAAATGGTCAAGATTAAACTTTGAAGAAGGAATGCCATCGAATGGTAAATTACTTCAGATGTAATGAGTAGCATGAATAAAGTCAAGCTCTGGCCAAGGACCAGCAATTTAAGGAAGTTGAGACTGGCAACAAGAGAGGAGTCAGGGCAGGAAGCGTAGACTGGGCTAGCTCAGGAAGGGCCTCTGGAGGCCACTAATGATTTGGATTTATTGGGCAGGAATACAGAGACAGTGTAAGTTTGGAAACAAGGAGCAACAGAATTAGAATTGAGACTTGGGATAAACAATGTCACTTTCCCCTGTTAAGTGTCCACTAAAGGTTCGTGGTGAAAGTGACCACTGCAAAAACGGTTACAACCCAGATAATGGGGCGCTTGTCTGGCATTCATCAGTCCCCAGGTGTGAGCCTTCACACTGCACAAGAGTAAGCAAAGAAATAAAAGGAATATGGGAATGGCAGGAAAGACGGCACATGCCTGCAATCTCAACACCTGGGAGGGGAAGGCAGGACGGTCAGACATTCAAAGTCCACCACAATTACACAGCGAGTTTGAAGTCAGACTGAGCTATATGAGACCCTGACTTAAAAAAGAAAAACCAAAAAAGAAAATACGTGATCACCACACAGTGAATTACTCTGCGTGTCCCTTGCCAGCTGTCCTCTCAGGCTCCTGAAATGAAATTTGGCTCCTACGCCAAATGTTGGATTCACAACTTGGGCTACTAGAGGTCTGACTTACAACACCTTTACTTTCTACACCTAACCCAAATACGTCCAGAGCCAGCAGGGGAATCACTGCCCCCAAATCCTCAAACTACAACCAGAAAATAGCGGCACCACCACCATGGTCATGAGCCAACCATTCACTACCATCGGCTAGAAGGGGGTGCAGGCGCCTCATCAGCTTTGGCTGCTCATCCTCCTTCAAGGCTGTCCATCCTGGGCATCTGGTCCAGCTGCACCATGACATCATCTTTTTTTAGAGACCAAAGGGTTCTATTTCCAATTTTTCCAATAGGGTATTTTGAAGTGACAGATAACAGTACCAGTTTACTGAGCAAGGAGTACAACTTTTTATTGTTCTACCACCGAGTGAGGGCTCGATCCCTTCAGCTTTCCTTTCTTCTAACCGACTTCTGCTCTCCTTACACAGTGCAAACATCCCCAAGACCCACAATCGATGGGGACGCGTTTCTCTGCAATACGTGCCTGACTGGACTGCCTGGGGGTTGAGTGGAATGGAAAGTAGAACAGGCATTTTCATAACTGCTTGAAACCCAGTTGGTACCTACCTTGTATCTCTGAGGCAGAAGCTATTATGATTCCCATTTTACATATGGGGAAATTGAGGCACTGAAAATTAAGAAAGCTGCTCAGTCACACATACAGTTTTTAGATGACAGATGCAATATTTGAATCCATGTATGTTTGATTCCACAAGCTATAACTCTGTCTTTATGCTGTTGTGGCATATGTATTAATGACTTAATTCTGCCATATACTTTTTTTTCCAGAATAGGAAAATTTATTACTGTGCTTCCACTGTCAAAATTTAGGATCTTGGTATTTCCTTCTTGCCTTTGTACAGGGCCAAAAGGGACATGTTGGCTACTTTAACAACCTTAAAGTAGACTCCAAAGAATATCACCTACAGCATGACCCTTTCTACCAAATCCAGCAACCAGAACGTCATCGTTTTCCTCAATGAAGTTCAAGCAACCATCATTGGGGACGAAAGCTGTGATCTTCTTGGTGTTCTTGATGAGCTGCACCCTGACACACTTCTAGATAGCAGAATTTGGCTGCTTGGTTTCAACTCCTACTTTTTCCAGCACGATTCTCTTGGCATGAGAGGCACCTCCAAAAGGATTGGCCTTCAGGGCTGTGCCCAAGTGGGCTTTCATGTATTGTTTTTCATGCCACTTCTGGTCCCGGTGGTGGCTGCGGAGCTTCCTGGCAGTATGGTGACCACGACACTTGCTCATCTTGCCGATGCCACAGGCCCGAGAGAAAGAGCTCTGCCATATACTTTTATTTACTGTTGCCATTATTATTATTATTATTATTATTATTATTATTATTATTATTGAGACAGGGTCTCTCTATGTAGTCCTCTATCTCGTTTTGCAGACACCATACCTGGCTATTCTTTTTTTTAATTAATTACAGTTATTTATTTTGCATCCTGATTGCACTTTTCCCTCCTCACTATCCTTCCATTCACCCCCCCCCACACACACACACAATCCACTCCTCTTCTATTTCTATTCAGACACGGGCGGGCCTCCCATGGGCGGCAACAAAGCACGGCATATCTTGTTGAGGTAGGACTACACCCTACTTCTCCAGGAAACTCTAAAAGTCACACATTATTCTTATGTTTTAAAAGGAGGTCTTGGCTCTGTAGTCAGGCTGGCTTTGAGCACACAGCAAGCCTCCCAAATTCTGTGATTACAGGCAGGCAGCACCATGATCAGGTAACAGATTTCTTTTTGTAGTACTCGGGACGCATGCAGAGGCTCACGCATGCCAAGCACATGCTCTAGTACTCAGCAACATCCTCTGCAAGTAGCATATTCTTTTTATATGTTGGGGGCCAATGTGCCTGTTTGGGTGTGCATGCAGAGGCCAGAGGTCAACATCAAGGGTCTTCCTCAATTGCTCTTCACCTTGTTCTTTTGAGACAGGGTCTCTCCTCTCACTGAACCTGGGCTCATGAATCTGGCCAGCGAGCTCTAGGGACTTCCTTGCCTCTGCCTCCCCAGCACTGCAATTACAGGTGTGCCTAGCTTTCAAGTGGATGCCGGAGAGCTCGTGCTTATGAAGAGCCGTCTCCCCCACAGCCAGCCTTATTTGTGTTGTTAGCCTGTCCTCTCCATTTCCATGTCCTTCCCTGTGGTCTATCATTCTTCATACAGCTGTCCAATTCATAATGCCCTTTCCATTAGTCCTTTACACCTCCACGACACAAGGCAGCAACAGGAGGTCCAGGAAGAGTCCCGGTGAGGCCCCAGTGTTGGTAGTGTAGCCGAGACCAATGATTCTCTGCGATGAACCCACACATGTAAAGATGTATGGACAAAGGAGTATACCGTGTGACTCTCTGTGCCACACTGCAGCTTCTAAGACGAGATTTCCCCTTTCGTCCTTTTTTCTGTTTTTCCTTTTTTATCTTAAATTTTATTTGGGGGGGGGATTGCAGGGGCAGAGGCTGGATTCAAGGGAACGGGAAATGGGTGAGATCGGGATGAATGATGTGAAAGACACAAAGCATAAATAAAAAAAAAGAAAGTTAAAAGAATTTCTCCTTACATTTATTGATTGTGAGTGGTGGGACGGTGCCTGTGTGGCGGTCAGAGAACAACTTGCATGAATTGACTCATTCCTTCCCGTGTGTGGGTCTCAGGGCTCACTCAGAGAGTCAGGCTTAGTGGTAAGTGCCTTTATCCACTGAACCATCTCACTGGCCCAATTTTTCTTTTCTTTTTTCAAGATAGTCTCATGCAGCCCAGGCTGGCCTTGAATTGTCTATATAGCCAAGAATGCACTCCTGACCCTCTTGTCTTCACTTCCCAATTGCTGGGATTCCGGCCTCTGGCGCCACCAAACCCTGTTTATAGTATGTGTATGTGTGTGGGGGGGGGGGGGTTGTATGTGTGTGTGTGTGTGTGTGTGTGTGTTGAACTTCACTTAACTCTCTCCTAAGGTTCTTGGAGTTGCTCTCACTACGGCTTTTCTTTCCCAAATGACGAAGTTAATGACAGAAAGGCCACGTATGATGAGGGGTTAAAGCCAGAGATACCATTTGGTCAAATCGGTGCTAAACCTGAACTCAGATCCTTTCACTCCCAAACCTATCCTTCATGTTTTTGGGCTCCTCTCCTAGAGCCCAGCCGCTTCTGAATCTGAGACACACTTTCACAATTCAAATGAAGCGTCAGCCTTGCGCTTATTTCATCCGGTGTAGATTTATGCTCGTTGTCTAGATATGCGCCTCTCCCTCATAGCCTGTGACGTAACTCGACCCCTAGAGCCAGAGCTTGGGGCCTGGCACTCAAATGCTGTATGCGGTGCCATCAAAGTTTGCGGTCTTTAACAATTCACGTCGCCTACTGAAAGATCTTTCACAATCTTCTGCACACAGCAGGCGCTCAACATTATAAACTTCTGCTACCCCACTTTTTTTTCTTTTGGAACGCCCGGTAGCCGGGGAATGGGAGTCAAGCGATTCCTCACCTGAGGGCTCAGCAGGGTCCTCAGGTGCTTCAACTGCATGACGCACACAGGTCTCGGATGCTCGCTGACCGAGACAACTCCCGCGGTTACCTGGACAACCCGCCAAGCAGCTATGGCGAGCCACTGACGCACAGGCAACGTGAGTGCGACACACGTCACAAGGTCACGTAGTGGGTTCGTGACCGGGCAAACGGGCCGTGCGCAAGCGCAGTGAATCCTAGGGCGGGCACATAAGAGTAGGTCGTCGAAGTCTATCCTCGACCAATCCTGTACTTGCATGCAAACTCAACGCAAAGCCCCACCCGCAAGTCTTCGTCTGTCCCCACCCTCCCCAGCCCCGCCCCTAGATCCTATATCTCTTTAACCCCAGCTTTTCTCATTGCTGTAACCGGTCAAGTGCGCTTTAGTTGCTTTAACTCTGGAGAAGCGCAAGGCAGGTGCTATGAGAGCGAAAGCCAGTTCGCAGAACTGCAGCCTCCGCTTTCCCCGCCAAAAGTTCTGTGACTTGCGCGAGGCCACTCAATACTGATAGGGACCAGTGAATGCTCAAGGATATACCTGTTTGAAGTGGGCAGAGGTACAGTCCCATTTTACACAACAGGAGGGGGTCACACGCCAAAGTTGAAACAGCTAATAAACGGTGGAACCGGGATTCAACCCAGAGCTGATAACCTTTTAATTCCCGTGAGACGATTCAAGTCTTCTCAACTCGTTGTCCCTTTGTTCAGCTTCTCTAACCTGTAACACGGTCTCAGGAAATGATCGGGGTTTGGTAGCACTGGCTAGGGAAAGGCAAGGCACCCGGTTTGGTCATTGGGTAAACAGTGAGTTCAAGGCTGCTTGCCGAAATCCAGATGTCTTTATGGGTCAGTGCAGCGGACAGAGCTGGGCTGGCCTCCTAGCTTAGAGCTGTGTGACACCTGGGGTTGGGGCTTGACTAAGAAAAGATACTATTGTCTTTATTTTGTTTGATTGGAATGCTCTCAAGAATTTTTGTTCTGATTTTTTGCAGTGTATCAGACAGATTGACTGAAATTCAGAAAAGAAGGCCTTCTCTCTCTAAACGGTCCCAGGTTGGCAAGTCCTATACCTGCCCCCCCAAAAGCATAGCGTATGATCTCCAGACCGAAGCTGAGTCCCAAAACCTTGCATGCACAGTGGTTGCCAATGGCAACGAATATTTCTCTCCCCACCACTACCTCCCTCTTGAAAAACTAAGAACAAGTAGAGGGCAGTTCCCATTTTTCACAGATAACACAAATAGGTCCCAGAACCCAGATTATAATTTTTTTCTATAGGGGCACCCAAACCCCTTTGTTTTATTTCTAGAATGCTCTGGATATGTTACAGAGTATAAATATAAATGCCTTTATGGATTACAATTATTAACGTTAAACGAACAGAGACATAGATGAAAGAGAAAACAGAGAGGAGGCACTGGTGTGCACAGGGTGAGGATACATGGCACCAAGGGACACATCCGTGATAGCTGCTCTTTGGCTAGCCCCCCCATGACCCTGCTCAGTCCTTCTGACCATTTTCCCAGAGGGAATGGTGGAGTTGAAAGAATGGGGAGGGGGTCGGTTATGTAACCCAGTGGTAGAGCATTTGCCTGTTATCCTTTACAAAGATAAAAGAAAGAAAATCTACTGGCCCTTTTATGGTGACATGGCCTGGTTTCCATTGGTGCAAAAACTTCTGTGTCTTCTCATTGCACCCCTCCCCCACATTTCAACAAAGCCAAAGAAAGGAGGCTTCTAGCTTCTGTACCCTTTCCTTGTCTTTTCTCCACCCGTCTTAGACGAAAACACGGACACAAACATCCTATAATGGGTCTGTTCCTTTAAGTTGGTGGTGGCGTGAGGGGCCCTTGGAGAGCTGAGAAGGTGTAGAGATGCCTTCAGCATACCATACAGTCAGTTCCGGTTTGTCCAAGAACCTTTATTGGAAAAATGTCCCAGGGGTGAGATCACCAGCAGCGGGAGGGGCTGCCAGGTGACGGGGGAGCACCTGAGGCTCCATGGAAGACATTGGAGTAGTGCAGTGTGGCATCTGCCTCGAGGCCCAGATGTTTGCTTCCTCTTCCTCCGTGGAAGAGGGCAATACAGACAGAAACAGCCCTCTCTGAGGCCCAGAGGCAAGCTGTAGGGGCAGCTAGTGGATGCCAATGGTCCTGATGCAGGTGAGATGGGGCCCCATTTGGGACCTAGTGGGATAGGGTCGAATAAATGACTCCCCTGGACCTGGGGGATAGGAGATGTTCATTTGATATCCACTCCCAGGTCCAGGGGTACAGATTCTAACAGACCTACCTTCTGGCCCTGCTCATAGTGGAAAGAGGATGGGCACCAGCCTGGGATTCTGGGAGTGCACAGCCTTGTGGGAGTCTCAGAGAGATCACCAACTTAGCTTCCCTGACCCCACCCCCCATTATCAGTGCATCTCTCTTCTGGTTCTGGTTCTTCAGTCACTCAGTTCACTCAAACGTCGATGGTGTTGATAGAAGGAGACTTTTTCTATGAGAGAAGATTACCCAAATCTCAAATTTCAGACAGGTAAAGGTGCTGCTCCCACCTTCTGGACATCCCATTCCCGCCCCACCCCCCTTCGCTGCCTATTCTGCTTTTCACTGAATACTCCTGGGCACCCAGATCACCCTTCTCACACTCACTGTCCCCATGTCACCTGTCTTGTCCCCACTGGCCTTCCCTGAGGACTCTGTTCAGGACCCTTCCCCTTCTCCTTGGGGTTGTTGTTGGAGTCGTTGTCCTTGATGATGTCATACTGACCGCAGAATAGCCCGATCACAGCTGAAACACAACAATACCATCTGAGCCTTGATCTTGACCTCTCATTCACAGCCTTGAGGCTGTAACAGCCGCACGACTTCTAGAAAATCCTGGAATTCCTGGGGCCCATACAACCGTCATCCCTGGCCATGCAATAGCCTTCTCTCTTTCTCCCCAAACTTGTCCTGATTACCTCCCTCCACCAGCCATTCCCCCCCACACACACTCCTTTCTCTCCTTTTTCTCCCGACGGGTAACCTTCACCACTTCCCACTATCATGGACCCAAGTCCCTGGCTCCCCATCCGGTACTCACCAGCCCACATGAGCAACACCACCACGATGATGACCACTTCCCCGCTCTGCAATGGCCGCTCTCCATCCAGACCCTTCACTGTGATGTCTCCTAAGGAGAGAACCATCCTCTGGGTTACAGAGGACCCACTGGACAGCTCTGTTATGTACAGAAGGGGGATGCTGGGGGTTAGAGTCAGCGGGACCCATCATCGCCCTTCTCAGGAAGAAGCCCATGGTGGGCAATGTTTAGATACCAGGGTGATCACAGAAATTGCTCATGCAGGCCGTGGCAGGTGTGATGTGAGCTTGGGTGAAAGGAAGCAGGAAGCCCTCCCCCCCCCCCCCAAGGATTCATTAGCAGTGTCTCTGTAGCTGGTCCCCTGCCCACCTGTTTTGCTTTCTGTCCCTGGCAGTAGAACAAATTATATCATCTTTCTATTCATCTGAGCTAGAATGCTGTTAGCGTTAAGCAAGTCAATGAGAGGTTAAAACTCGGTTCAAAAGCTGGAGACTCTTCTAACACAGGCTCTCACCTGGGCTGGAGCTGTTGGAGGGCAGCCTGTCAGAACCCTTGAGAGTACGGAAGTGCACACGGGGCCCAGGAGGACTCTCTCCCCGGAGGCCAATGCTCCTGACCTGCACGGTGTAGTCACTGTCTTCAGCCAGGCCCCAAAGAGCACAGGCCCTAGTGGTGGTGTTCACTCCCTGATTACATGCTGCCCAGGGCCATTCTGTCGCTGCAAGAAGATGTAGAGAAAGGAGAACAACCTAGGCCCGGTCCCTGACCATGAGGCTTAACGCGGGATTCTGTAACATCCAAGCACTCCAAAGGAGTAATGTGCAGGGGTGTTCAGAGAACCAAGGGCACAGGTTGGGGAAACAGGGTGATTGGTACTTGCTGGGAAATGGAGTAGCCAATGACGATGTTGCCTTCTGGGACGTCCCAGGACACAGTGGCCGAGTTGGCTCTGAGATGAGTGACCGTCACATTCACAGGAGAGGGAGGTCGGTCTGGGGGTGCCAGAATGTTGACAGGTTAAGAGGTTTCACTTCCACACTAGCTCTGACGGACCCCCACTGCGGGCGTCCTCTTCACTCACCTGCTCGCACAAAGCCCAGGTCACAGCTGACCAGCAGGAGGACAGTGGGACTCAGATATGGGGAAAGAGGCATCAAAGAAGCCATGGTTTCCACCGAGTTTGCCGAGGGGCCAGGAGGCATCCGCTTAACATCCAGGCGGGGATCCTGGAAAAGGCAGGAGTAGTGGGGGTCAGGAGCTGCCCAGAACGCAATCGGGATGCAGCAGCTCTCCCAGGCTTCCCACGGCCCATAGCCCATTTTCCCCGCGCCTTTCCCTCCTCCGCATAACCCTGGTGCCCACCCCAGCCCCCACCCGCGCAGTCGGATCAGCTCACACCCCACCTGCCGGGTCCTCGTGGTCGGTCAGGCCTCGGGGGGTTGTTCGGTGCCCAGGGGGCGGCCCATCGCCGGACTGGCGCTGGCCCTACCCCATCCCGACGCGGGCCCGCCTAGGCGGGCAGCGCCGGCCGAGCTGCGGGCAGAGAGGGCAGAGGCGGAGTGGCCGCCGGCCTCGGGTCTGCGGGGGCCCCCAGCGTTCCCGAGGGCCGCGCGTAGTCTGTCTCGGAGCAGGGGGCGTTGCCGGCGAAGCCTGGCAACTGGCCTGCGTCCCCGGTGCAGAGGACAGTGCGGCGGCCGAGGCTGGTCCCCTGCAGCGGGATGTGACCGTCCGAGCCAGCCAGCCGCCGCTTTCTGCAGAGCTGGCCCCGCGCGCTCCGCTGCAGCCCGGCTGGGACCCGCGTCGCCGTCATCCTGCCCCCCCCCCCCCATTACCTACCCGCCAGCCTTGTTCTCTCGGGGCTCCTCTCATGACCCTCCCAATGGCGGCCTACTGGGCCCCTATTCCTTCATCCTCCCTGCTCTAGTAGATGAACTGACTGGGGTACCCGGACAGGTGCAGATGCGAGGGTCTAGGGCACCTGAAAAAGCCCCTCCTTCCTGGCATGAAATTAGCCAAGTTGAGAGGAGGCATTCCATCTCCGAAAGCAGAAGGGGGCTGAGAGGAGAGGAGACAGAGTGGTGGAGATGATAATTGTTTTAACAATCTCTTGGAGACTGCGTCAGCCTTTAAGTCTCTTTCCCATTCATGATCTGATTGGATTCCATTCGCTTTCTCAGTCATTCTTTCATTTTTTTCAGCAAATATTTACTGAGCATCTTCAATGTGCCTTCCTTTAGAAGAGCTGGAGATGACTTAAAAAAAATGCTGGGCATATAGGAACAATTAAAAAACAGACCTCTCTGTCTCTGTCTCTATCTCTCTCTGTCTTTCTGTGTCTCTGTCTCTGTTTCTCTCTCTCGTGTGTGTGTGTGTGTGTGTGTGTGTGTGAGAGAGAGAGAGAGAGAGAGAGAGAGAGAGAGAGAGAGAAGTAATTCATTCGTTTTTAGAGAAATCCATTAACCTGCGCCTCAGGTTTCCCACCTGTAAAGCATAGAATCCTGAAACAGAGCTTAGACTATCAAATGTGACAGTGCTGGACAAAGGCCTTTAAAAGCCTCTGCTAGTGTATGAAGTGCTGTTCCTTTGCGCCAACTTGCTAGTTGTTGCAAAATTCATTCAGGAAGCATGTAAGTCCTTAAATTATTTCATAGTTTAGCTGAGTGTGAAATCTGTGTAATACTAAACAACTGACCACTCCTCTGAGCCCATCTAAACACAAGGCTGTCAGCAATGACCCTAAGTGTCCACGTATCCGGGGATGCCTACCATTTGGGGGAAAGAGACTGGCTGTATTTAGGGCAGGTTCTTTGGTTTTCATTCTTCTTACAGTATTTCTATTTCCGTGAGTTTTCCTCTGTGATATCCAGTTCAGTGCATGTACACCTGGGGCCCAGCAGCTTCTGTTGCTTTTCTTTCTACAAGGAGAGGATAAAATGGGCCAGTGGGGCAGAGAAAGGCTGCATGCTGACATGTGATCAAGCCATGGCCCTGGTCCTCTGACTCCTACTGACCCCGATCTCTGGCCTTCAGAGGCATTTGTGCCCCAGAATTCTTTTTGCTCTGACCTGGGTGTTGTTCTGCCCATCCAGGCTCCCAGCCTTCCAGAGGGTCCTGTGTCTGAAGGGCAAGCACAATGCCCTTCTGGTCCTCTTCTTCAAGAGCAAAGCAGAGGCTGGCAAGACAGAGGGTGTGCAAAGAGGACCCTCCGGAGCTCCCGCGGAGGGCTGGGAACTAGTGACAGGAGCGGGTGTTGAAGAAAGGAGTGCAGAGGTGGTGCTCAGAGACACAGAGCCTGCAGGTTAATCATCTCCACGGCTCAGATAAGACCCTGCCAGCTGGAAGCAAAGCTATTGTCACCAGAAAGGTTTGTGTGACTGCAGAGGCAGGCAGAACAGAGTGTCTGCAGTACAGGGCCATGCCAGGCACGAAACGGTATCAGCATGTGATTGAGACCCCTGAGCCTGGCGAATGGGAGGTGAGGCCCTTTCTCAATTTCAGCCTTCTGCACTGATGCCTAGAACAGTCCTGATTTGGACTCGCCTCAAGCGTGGCCTTCTGCTCCTTTCCTCTTTCTCCTCTTCTTTTTTGGCTTTTAAGATAGGGAATAGCCCAAGCCGGCCTCCAACTGCTACGTATCTGAGGATAGCCTTAAACTCCTGATCCCCCTGCTGCCACTGTGCAAATACTGGAATCAAAGGCACACACCCCATGATAGGCATCCTTTTCCTATCGTCCCTAATAGGCTCAGAACATCACATGAAGACTGTTCTTGGTATGTGAATGGCACGCGCATGTATGTGTGTGTGTGTGTGTGCGTGTGTGAAGTATGTGAATCCAAGCCCGATACTGTGCCTACTTCCATTCCCGCCTCCAGCCCAGCAAGCATAAGGCTTCCTGTTCCTGACTTTGTGCCCCCTTCTCTCTAGTTGTCAGGGTGTGAAACAGCTGTGCCAATCACAGAGAAGTCCAATCCCCTGACCCGGAACTTGGACAAAGCAGATGCAGAGAAAATTGTTTAGCTGCTGGGGCAGTGTGATGCTGAGATCTTCCAGGAGGAGGGGCAAATCGTGCCCACCTACCAGGTGACCTACAGTCAAACCTCAGACACTGCCAAAGAGATGCTAAGCCAACCACATCTCAACTTCTACCCTCCCAGACTACGGTTTCTAATTTTGGAAATCCTGAGCCCCCTCCTCCATTCCAATCCGCTGTTCTCTGTTTCTTTCCTTTTTGTCTCATCCCCCATTTTTTTGTTTATTTATGTATTTATTTTGTGAGGTGGGAGGATTTATTCCATGGGGAAATGTATGGAGGCCAGAGGACAACTTTTGGGAATCAGTCTGTTCTTTCATCATGTGGGTCACAGGAACGAAATCAGATCATCAGTCTTGGCAGCAATCCCCTTACTCACAGAGCCATCGCATGCTCCCCTCCTAGCTCCCATTTCTTCCTACTGATCCCTGTCCACTCTCCAGCGACTGTACAGTGAGTCAGTTCTGACCACCATGTTGCAAGTGGCTGGAAAAGTCCAGGAGGTCTTGACGGTACTAACTCTCCGCCTGCTTCCCATCCAGACACTGCTGTTCCCTCTAATGTCTTCTTTCTTGGGTCTCCGTTTCTGATTTTTTATAAATCTCAACTCTTTATTATCTTGGTCTTCCCTTTGGATGTTTATTATTATCTTGGTCATCAATAGTAGTTATGATAATTGCTAGATGAATACTTTATCATAAGCAATACATGTTCTAATTTTGCTTTGTTTTTGGTTTTTCAAGACAGGGCTTCTCTGTGTAGCCCAGACTGTCCTGAAACTCACAGAGTTTCACAGGCTGGCCTTGAACTCACAGAGCTCTGCCTGCCTCTGCCTCCCAAGGGCTGGGATTAAAGGCGTGCGCCACCACCATCCAGCACCAGCATACATTTTCTTTTAAAAATTATTACTATTGTTATTATTTTTTAAACGAGGATGGTTGTTTTGCCTGTATGTATGTCTGTGTACTACATGAGTACCTGGTGCCCATGGAAGGCCAAAGAAAGTGTTGGATCATCAGGAACTTGAGCTGCTGGTGTCTGGAGGCTGCCATGTGGGTGCTGGCGATCAAATCTAGCCCCTCTGGAAGGGCAGCCAGTGTCTTAATCGCTGAGCCACCTCTCCATCCCTGGCAATGCGCTTTCACACTCACTCAGTGCCTGCACAGAAACCTGTGACGCTGGCATTATTGTCTTTTTTTTTCCCCCACTTTTCTCTTCTCAGACCAGAAAACAAAGAAAGGATGCTCACAGTAGCTAGCTTGAATGTACCCAGCTAATAACAGCTGGATGCGTCTGCTTTGGTTGTTTATTTTTATTTAATTGACAGACTGCTCTCAAGTCCCTGCTGGAATAAGTAAGAATTTTAATGAATAGCTTAGTCTGAGAGGCGAGCCAAGAGGAGTTCTTTCTCCAAATCATTGTTCTTTTTTGCTACCTCGCACAGCCTATGACCTGCTCAGTTTTCTGATGAAGAGAAGATTGAGGAGTTCTGTCTTCCTCTGTCATTGACAAAGGAGAAAGGAAAGTATGATTCTTCCTGACCTGGGCCTCTTTCCTTCCTCAGGAGCCAGATGGAGGCCTGGTAGTACTGAGTGGAGGAGGAACCTCTGGCCGCATGGCATTCCTCATGTCTGTGAGAATGCTAATTCCCTGTTTTCTCCTTTCCTTCTGGGGACGTCACCCAGAACCATAAAGCTAATTAGAGGTACGTTCTCTCCGCAGATATATTCTCTCCCCACCACCTTTCCAAAAGCTGAGCCCGGGAGCAAGTCCGGTTTCTCTGACCTCACTAGATCGCCGCCCTCCTCTGCCTAGCATTCCCACATCGCACGCAGCACTAATCAAGCTGCATCTTTAAGTGGCAGATTGCAAATAAGTTAGGGAGAAGTATTGGTCTAAAAAGACCATTCTGCATCCCCAGTCCTCTAGAAACTGAGACTCCACAGCGCATCCTCTCTCTCATTTTTTCTTCCTACCCTCTCTCCTCCTGGCCAGGTCTCTTTTAACCACCTGATAAAAGGCTTGGGACAAAAGCCTCTTTACACATACCTCATTGCAGGTGGTGACAGGTTAAGTGACCTACGCATGTGGCCCCAATTTATTTATTTATTTATTTTAGAAACTGCATTTGAATGTAACTGTCAAAGATTATATTGAACCTACCTCAGTCTCCACCATTCCACATTGCCTTATATCTGGTTCCTTTACAGACTTTTATTACCTACCTGGCCTTGTAGGTATTTGAAGTTTGTTTTTCCTTTGTTTTTTTTTTTTTGTTGTTGTTGTTTGTTTTGTTTTTAACTCCTTGGTGTATCTATCTTGGTCTCAATTAAACAGTAGGTGCCCTTTCAATAGTATCTTTTCTCTGTTCTGTTCTTTCCGTGTGCCCCTTTCTAACGAGCTGTAGGGTTCTGCTTCTCGGCCAGTGCGACTGACCTTGATTGTGTCTGCGTCTTTAGGTCTACCGTGGCCTCTCAGGAACGGACAGAAGACAGTGCCCTATACGGGATTGATGAGCTGAAGAAGGTCTGTGTTTTCCAATACTACTCAACTAGAGAGGCCCCTTTTCATAGGGTTAGAAAACCCCAACCTCAACCAAGGCCTGGCCCCTCCTCTGGTCCTGATTTTTCTCACACAATAGATTTGTACCCTGGTGTCCTCCCCACAACCTGTAGCTCTAACTCACACCTCCTCCAGGAGACTCCCTGCTCCCTGTCACCCTAACTCATACCTCCTCCAGGAGACCCCCTGCTCCTCGTCATCCTAACTCACACCTCCTCCAGGAGACCCCCTGCTCCCCGTCATCCTAACTCATACCTCCTCCAGGAGACCCCCTGCTCCCCGTCATCCTAACTCACACCTCCTCCATTCCAAGGTGGCTGCTGGGAAGAAAAGAGTCACTGTCATAGGCATTTCTGTTGGACTCTCTGTAAGTATGAATGCAGGCTGTTGGGACAACTTTATGAGGAAGGGGTGGGACTAGAAAGAAAAGGAGAATGTTGAGGTGGGTACCAGGAAATAGAAAACCTACGCAAGGAATTTGATTTCAATTTTCACTGATTTGATCTATTTTTATGAATATGAAAAGAGAGGGAGGGAATTCTATCTCAGAATAACTGTGTATTGAGCCAAGATGGACAGACTAGTCCAGGGGTCAGCAAGCATTGCTGGCAGTCAGCACAGCCAGCCGCCTGAAATTGTGGATCGTTTTACTGGCACACAGTCTTCGTGTTTACTTAGAATTCATGGCCTCTTTTGTGCTAGGCTTAAGTAGTTGGACAGAGATCATAGGGCCCACAGAGCCTGACGTATTTACTGTCTGAGTCTTCACAGAAGAATCTGGCTTCTGGTTTCATCCCACCATCAGCATCAAGGGGAGACTTGTTAGATCTTAGGCTACAGAAGGGTCAGTCTGCATTTTAACAAGATTCTCAGGATGTTTTGTATGAGAAACACCGGGTTTGATTTCCTGTCAACCCCACAACAGTTTTGATTCTAAGAGTTCAGGGTGCAGAGAGTTAGATCCCAGCTGTTGGACGGTGATCTCAACAGGACGTTGACCTAAAGGAGGCCGTTGCCATTACAACTGTGATCAGTCATTTCCGAACTTCACCATCTGGAAGATTTCTGTGGAGGAACATAAGAAAAATGTAGCCCTAGCTGGGCGATTCTTGCTTGTAATCCCAGCACTCGGGAGGGAGGGGCAGAAGGATGATTGTGTGTTCAAGGCCAGCCTGGACTATACAAGGAAATCATAGCCCAGAGAAAGGATAGTTCTGCAACTTTTGGGGTACTTGTAAGGCGTATGCTTCCCCATATCAAATGTGGATTCAGCGAGTCTTGGCTGAGGCTTTAGTATTTCTAGCAAGCCTGCTGGGGCAGGTTCCTTGTGGACCTTGGGGAACACTCAGAGCCGTTCCCTTCATTGTGCCTGCCTCTCTTGCAACCACCAGGCACCCTTTGTGGCAGGCCAGATGGACTATTGCACGGATAACACAGCAGTCTTCTTGCCAGTCCTGGTTGGCTTCAATCCGGTGAGCATGGCCAGGTAAGGTTTCTGTTGGGACTGGCAAGGCTTGGGGGAGCCTGGGGAAGGGACGTGTCAAAGGGACAAGCCTCGCTGATAAAGGTACCAAGCCACGTGGCTAACACAGACAAGTAGTGTGGGTTAAGATGTAGGATGTAAGAATTAGTTAATAAGAAGCCTGGGCTACTAGGCCAGCCAGTTTATAATTAATGTAAACTTCTGTGTGTTTCTTCAGGGCTGAATGGCTGTGGGATGGGGGCGAGAGAGGGGGACAGAAATCTCTGTCAATAGTCCAGAGTATCATCAGCAAGAAGATGGATCTATGGTCTTGCTTGCCAAGTCTCAGAATGTAAAAGTAAATATGCAGTGATCCCTAAGCTTTTGAAGTTGTTGGCTGCTCCACTTTAAATGGTCTCTCCTGTTTCAGAAAGGGTGGAAGGCACTTACAAAATGGTGGCCCATTCCTTTAATCCCAGCACTCAGGAGGCAGAAGCAGGTGCATCTCTGAGTTTGAGGCCAACCTGGACTACAGAGGGAGTTCCAGGACAGCCAGGGCTACACATAGAAACTCTGTGTCGAAACAATCAGACAAACAAATACCCCCCCCCCAAAAAAAACACCAAAAAACAAAAGAAAAAACAAACCAAAAAAGCAAAAGCTATATAAACCACAGATTTAGAGCAGGAATTGAAGAGGTAAAAAAGACAAGAGCTAGAAGGAAAAAACAGGGTCAGGAACATGTATACCCCAAAAGTCTATGCTTCCATCTAGGGTGACCCCCAAGCATCTTTTCAGTGTAGCAGTGGGTGCCCCATGGTCACGCACTCCTCTTTCCATCTCCTTTGTTTCAAGCTCTTTCTTTCATCAATCCAGGCATGTTTCTGCTCCTCTCTGACTGCTCATATCTGCCCCTCCCCGCTTGAAGCCCTGTGCTGCAGAACCACCTTCTTTGGGCTGGGGAGAGGGCGGACAAGATTTTGCTATGTAGCCCAGGCTGTCCTATCCAAATGGCCACTAGGTCTGATCTGATACTCCATGTGGCTAACCAATATAGTGCAGATGTCATTCTTTATTGATTTAGGGTAAGGCCATGACATATCTGTGGTGATTGATTCCAATGCACAGCCAAGTTTGGGCAATTCTGCTGAATAGGCCATTGGATTGGATCACCTGATGGCCCTGAGGGCTTCCTGTCCATGGGGGACTGCAGTGGGAGAGCCTGGTTCTTTCTCTTCCCAGTCCCAGATTCCAGGCTTGTAGTGTGACTCGTACTAAGGTGTAAATGAGTTTGTGATACTCTTAACCCGGATCCCTTTCATGGAGGACTCTTCACCCAAAATATATCTGCAGCAGCGGGTGCTAATTTCAGGCCCTGTGACTAAGTGAAATTAAGAATTTCAAACAATATAGGCATGGAGATCTTCCAGTTGTTCCTTAAAGCGGTGGCTCCCTGTCTTGGCTCATCTTCAGAGCTGTCTCTGAAACTAAAAAATACAGTTTAGGGCTCTGTGCATACCTGCTGAGGCTGAACCTCTGGGTAAGTGTGGTGTCCAGAACTGGATGTTTACAGCAAAACGTAATTCTCTTTGCCCCTCATCCCGGGGTGTTGATGTTCAATGAAGTCTGGGAATCCTAATTTTTATTGCACAATGTTGGTACTTTCTCTATTCCCTCCTTAGGTCTCCTCTCTCTAGGGTCTCTAGGAAGTGTTAGAAATGAACTTGAGGGCAGCAATAGAAGGTACTTTACACAAAGGGTATAAAATAGGGGAATCTTGTCTGCCTCAGGATTCACACAGGAGAAAAATCTGTAAAATCGTTCCAGAAGGGGTTATTGTGTGCCTGCCATCCCTGTGCCAGGGAAGCAGAGGCAGGAGGATTCCTGGCTGTGCTGGCTTGTAGGTCTAGTCTAGTGAGTGACCCTGTCTCAAAAAAAAGATAAGATGGAGCCAGGCGGTGGTGGCACATACCTTTAATCCCAGCACTTGGAAGGTAGAAGCAGGTGGATCTCTATGAGTTCGAGGCCAGCCTGGTCTACAGAGCGAGTTCCAGAGCAGGCTCCAAAGCAACACAAAGTAACCCTGTCTCAAAAAAGCAAAACAAAACAAAAACAAAAAACAAAAAAATAAGATGGAGAATAGTTGGAGAAGGTAGCTAAGGTTGAACTCTGACCTCCACACACAGGTGTGTGTAGAGCCGCACACAAGTGCCTACATATACTTGAACACACACACACCCACATCCCCACACCCCAACACACACCCCACACCACACACACACATACACACAATAAAAGAAACAGTTTGAAAAGGGATGGACTCTTGTCAGATGTGATAAGGTACAACCAGGGATGCTGTGTGCAGGGTGGGCTCAGTCTTTGAGGCCATGCCACATTGAGCAAATCACAAATCATCCCCCACTTCAGAAGACCCTCACGCTTTCGAGATTCCACAGTCTGTAGCTAAGCACATAGACTGTACTAGCTCTCTTGTCTCCTTAACACATTGCTTTGTTCCTGATTAGTCACCAACAGATGCTACAGTTAATAGCGTGACTTTATATCTCACTAGGGACCAGCATTCCTCCATCAGGTAGCAGGGGTTCACTCCTCGGGGAGATTCTAGATGTATTCAAAGGATGGGAAGGGTTTCAAAGGAGTCTAAGATGGAATATAAGGTGATAGTGTTGACCCTTGACTTCTGGCTGGAACTTTAAACTTGAATGTTGGCTTCATTGCTGGAGGTATTATTAACCCAATCCTTGGGGTTCAGGGACACCCCACCCCAGATGCTCCAAATATTTCTCTGTGAAGTAGCTGACCTCTGACCCCACTCCCTCACTGAGCTGAACTGCCAGCTGAGGCCTTTCCTTCAGATCCTCACAGGCAGTCCTTCCTCTTCCGTGTTTCTCTGGACCTCAGAAATGACCCCATTGAAGACTGGAGATCAACATTCCGGCCAGTAGTAGAGTGGATGCAGAAGATGCAAGAGAAACAGGAAGCTTTTGTGCTCAATCCTGCCATTGGGGTAGGCCAGACTTTCTTTGCTCCATGCCCCTCTTCAAGCAGATGAGAATTGCTTGTCACTTGCTGGGAATCTTTGATCTTACGGCTCCTGTTCACAAATCCCCAAGGCATTTCATGTCAGCTCACATGTTTCCAATGAAGTCCTATTTTTTTTCTTAACTCAAAATGTTTTTTTAATCTTATTTCAACCCTGTTTCTCAGATTTGTAAGCAGTAAGCACTTCTAGACTCTAGAATAGTCTAGAAGAACTAGAACAGTCTAAAAGAGCTAGAACAGGTCAGAGAGTCTAGAACGCTTTCAAAAGGGCCTTTTGCTATCTATGAATAGACAGCCTCGGCTAACTAATCGCTGTTAGTTCTCATCTAGTCCCTTACAGATTCAAATGTCAAATATGGCTTTAAAAACCAGAATGCGATTTTATTCATTTGGGGGGGGGGTGTTTTTTGTTTTTGTTTTTGGCAGAAGTGGCTTCTCTGTGTAGCTCGAGCTGTTCCAGAACTTGCTCTATAGGCCAGAGATTCACCTGCCTCTGCCTCCTGAGTGCTGGAATTAAAGGTGTGCGCCACCACTGCCTGACTCCCTACTTCTTCCTTAACCAAAATTTTTGCTTCCTACCTCCCTTTGCCAGTAGTGGGCACATCTGAGCCCTTCCCCTTGATCCTCATGTGAGATAGGAAGGGAAATTCCATGGTGTATGTAGTTTGTTCTTGTCCCACATCTCCTGTCTCATCCTGACTCTACCGGCTGGTGTTTGTTTCTTCCGAGCTTTATTTTTAAAATTATTTTTTAGGTATGCCTCTCTCTCTCTCTCTCTCTCTCTCTCTCTCTCTCTCTCTCTCTGTGTGTGTGTGTGTGTGTGTGTGTGTGTGTGTGTGTGTGTGCGCGTGCAGGTGACCATGGAGGCCAGAAGAGGGTATTACTTTCCATGAAGCTGAGTTACAGGCAGCTGTGAGCTTCCCAGTTGTAGGTACTGGGAACTGAACTCAGGTCTTCTGCAAGAGCAGTGAGCACTGTTAAGCCCTGAGCCATCTCTCCAGCCCTTAGTCTTCTCTTTTAATCACTGGTCATGTCATTTTCTCTGCTGCAGTCTTTGTGAGGTACTATGTTATAAATCTGTACCACCGAGTGTCTGTTCCACGTGTCTGTCCAGAGCATGGGAGATCTGATACTAAGGAATGGCAGACTACCATAAAACATGGTGGGGAAGGTTCTCAGAAATAAAAATATTCTCTGTCTGGGCAGTGGTGGCTAACACCTGTAGTCCCAGCACTCAGGAGGCAGAAATAGAGGGACTCTCTTTGAGTTCAAGGCCAGCCTGGTCTATAAAGAGTTCTAGGACAGTGAAGGCTATTACACAGAGAAACTCTGCCTTGAAAAAAAGAAAGAAAGAAAGAAAGAAAGAAAGAAAGAAAGAAAGAAAACAAAAGAAAAAGAACGAAAAGTATTCTCTGAAAACCCTTGACCCAACTGACAAGAGACAGCACCCATCCTTATAAACACAGTCAAGGCCACCAGGAAAAGATACGCTCATGGCTCACTAATCAGAGTGAGTGTCTAATAGGGACCCCCAAACACGCTCGTGCCCAGGGATCACCAACCACACTCCATCCGAAGGATCACCAACACCTCTCCATGCTCAGGGGTCATGAACTGGAGAACTGGTAGACTCCTGGGTTGTTCTTTCTCCCAGTGAGTGTCATTGCCTCCTTAGCCCGAGGGGCTCAGTGGCTCTTCCTGGATGAAAGGCAGGAGCGCCACCAAGATTCTGCTGGAAACCCTGCTGCTAGCGGCCCATAGGACTGTGGACCAGGGTGTGGTGGCCTCTCAAAGGTATGGAGGAAGCAGACAAGCTGGGCATCAGATCCACACCGTGGTGACACGGGGGAAGAGATGGGAGGTCCTAGCTCCTAAGACTCACATAGGCTAGAACCCAGCCTGCTGTGACTTCCTTTCCTTACCAGAGTCTCTGGCCCAGCTTCTAGAATGCTCCAGTCCACCTTCCTCTTGGCTTTTGTTTTTCCCACTGCAGCCCTTTTTTAAAAATAGAATCCTTTCTGCTCTTATTAACGGGGATCTTTCTCCCTCCTCCTTCCCCTGCTTTCCTCCAGAATGGACTAGCAAAACTTTTTTAAAAATGGGAATTGTGACATCCCCCAGGTGTGGGTAGGAGTACCTAGCTCTTTTGCGGGGGGGGGGGGGGGGGGGCACCATGCCCTTCTCAGGAGCTAGTGAATTTTCTTCCAGATGCCTTCTGGACATCCTGAGGACATTTGAGCGGGCTCATCAGGTGGCTTCTTCAGTGGTGGTGACGGCTGCTATGTTTCTTTGCATCCTGTCACCCAGCTGTCCGTACCCACTGTGTTCCCATCTGCTGCTGATTTCTGCCTGACTCAATTATTCCCGTGGTGACTCTCAAATGGCGATTTTCTATTTCTAGCCTTCTTCCTTTTATCTATATTCATTAATTGGCTTTCTTCTCCGAGGAACTTCCTATTCGCTCCCCACCCCATCTGTATTTGTTTAATGTCATTATGGACTCATTAATTTTCTGTTGTTTTTAAATGTTTAGATATTTTTTCTTTTAAAGACAGGGTTTTTATGTAGCCAAAGCTGGACTAGAACTCATTATATACCCCAGACTGGCCTTGAACCTATAACCCTCCTACCTCAGCCTCCTGAACTCTGGGATTATAGACATCTACCACCATGCTTGGCTTAGATGTATTTTAATGCATTTTATTTTATTTTTATTTCTATGTGTGTGTGTTTGCTTGTCTGTATGTGTACCATGTGTGTGCAGTGCCATGGGCCAGAAGAGGGCATTGGATCTCCTGGAACTGGAGTTACAGGTGATCATAAACTGTAGCTGCTGGGAGTCTCACTCAATCTTATGCAAGAGCAGCAAGTGCTCTTTACCCTGAGCCTTCTCTCCAGCCCCTTAATACTTTCTCTCTCTGTCTCTGTCTCTATCTCTCTGTCTCTGTCTCTCTCTCTCTCTCTCTCTCTCTCATTTATCAAAATAGGGCTTCTTTGTGTAACAACCCTGACTGTCCTGGATCTCACTCTGTAGACCAGGCTGTCCTCAAACTCACAGAGATCCACCTGTCTCTGCGTCCTGAGTGCTGGAATTAGAGGTGTGTGTCATGCTTGTATTCCCTTAATACTTTCTATAGTATTAATTTTTCATTTTAATCCTCAGAATGAGATCATATTCAAGGTGGCTTCCTCGATCCTATTCACATCCATATTTAAACATAATTTGTATGTTTCTTTTTGGAAAAAAAAGAAAATGAAAAACAAACAAACCAAAAAAACCACCCTCTTATGTTTGGGCAAAGGGTGGCACACAATTTACATCTCATGTGCTTTGCTTAATATTTTATGAATATTACTCAACTGCAATGTACAAATCTCGTCTTCACTGACAGCTGTGCGTGCACATGTATGATAACTGACCTGACCAATTTCTTATTTGGAGCATCAAATAAGAATATTTTGCCATTGCCAATAACGAAGCAATGATTATGCACATTATCTGAGTGTTTCTTTTGATAAATATGTAGAAATTTAGATCTTGGTCAAAGGTTAAATACAAATATTATTTTGCTCTATGTTGTAAACTTTTCTTCCATAGGTTTTGCACTCTTTGCTTTTCACAATTGAAGTTTGAATTGATGTGGCTCCATCCAGCCCCCCCCCCAGAGAGTTTTTTCTAGCTTCATTCAATTTCTGTGTAATTTTCTTTTATATTATATTAGTTATTGATTTTGAAGAAGTGGGATGGTACCCAGGGCTTCACACATGCTAGGCAAGTGTTCTGCCCCCGAGGCACTCCCCAGCCTGTATCTCTATGATGTGAGATAGAGGAGCATCTTTCTCTCTCCTCCATCTCCCTCCCCTCTCTACTTGCCCCCTTACGCCTTCTTTCAGTTGTCCTGGACCTCCCCATGACAATCGACTAGCCTCAAATTCATAATGGCCCCTTCCTTCCTGCCTCCAAGCATGCTTGGATTGCAGACTTCTGCCACCATGCCCAGCGTTTACTTCTTTTTCCACCAGGCTTTGAAATCTCCGCTGACTCCTTTGGCCTTGAGTTCTTTACAAAGCCATTAGTGTTCTATTTCTGATGCATGTTGTAAATATTTTCTCTTGGCTTTAGCTTGCAAGAAGTCTGCTTCAGTTTTTCCGAGGTTGAATGTGTCAGTCTCTCCATTGCCATCTGGGGCTTGAAGCACAGAAAGCTCCTCCCACACTCATGCTGGTATGGCACCTCTGCTTCTTGCAGTTCTTAGGAACTTTGTTTATTCTTGTGAAAGCAGCAAGGCATGAACTCGTTTATATTTTTCCAGGCAATTACCTATAATTGTCTGAGTTGCTTTTCTATTGCTGTGGCTAAGCACCAGGACCAAGGCGACTTCTAAAAGAAAGCATTTAATTGGAGGCCTGGTTACAGTTTCAGAGAGGGCATCCATGGCCACCAGAGCAGGGACAATGGTATTTGACTGGGAAGTTGGGCATGGTGCTGGAGCAGTAGCTGAGAGCTTACATCTTTTTATTATCATTATTATCATTATCATTATTATTATTATTATTATTATTATTATTATTTTGAGACAGAGTTTCTCTGTGTAGCCCTGGCTGTCCTGGAACTCTCTGTAGACTAGGCTGACCTCGAACTCACAGAGATCCACCTGCCTCTGCTTTCCTGAGTGCTAGGATTAAAGACTTGCACTAACACCAGCCAGCTGAGAGCTTACATCTTGAGACAGCAACCATGAAACAGAGAGTATTAACTGGGAATGGCATGGACTTTTGAAACTGATTCAAAGTCTACCACCAGTGAGATGCCTCCTCCAACAGGGCTCTCGTAATTCTTTCCAAACTGTCCCACTAACTGTGGAACAAGCATTCAAATAACGTGAGCCTATTGGGGCCATTCTCACCCAAACTACCACACCAATTGTCTCAGTTTAATTTTGAAGTATAGCTTGTCTTGAGTGATGAAGGATATTACATGTGCCATATATTCAAGCTCCATGTGCACTGGTCCAATAACAATAGTGAGTTTACATGTATATTTTTTTAATGTAGAAGCAGTCTGGATTTCCTATTTTTTCCACTGGCCTGCTTCTTGATGCACTGGTTCCATGAACTTAATGATAGAGGATTTATGGCATGTTTAATATTTGGAAGGATTAGTCCTCCATTCATTAAATATTAAGGGCTTTCCTAAGCTATAAATATGGATTTATTTCTTCATTGGAACTTAAAAGTCAATCATGTAAACTTCAAAATAACTTTGTTAGTGATACTTAATGGGATAAATAGCTAATAATATAACTCAGATTTAATTGGCTTCTTTCCTACAGGCAATGTGATAAATGGCATATAGCATCTGTCTCAGACTTTCTGTTGCCGTGATAAAACACCATAACCAAAAGTAGCATGGCAAGAGAAGTATTTATTTCCTCCATCACTGAGGGAGGTCAGGGCGACAACTGAAGCAGAAACCATAGAGAACGTGGCTCCCTGGATGGCTCCCCATGGCCCGCTCGGCTTACTCTCCATCCCCATCACTCACACACTAGTGATAAAGGGAAACCCTTTAAAAAGTGGACAAAAAGTTTCTTGTATACACTCTTCCAAGCGTGTGTGTGACAATCTCATACCTTAGAAGGACAGAGACCCTGGAGCAGAATTGGACACCACCCCTGCCTTCAGCAAGACTGTAGCTGGTGGATGAGTCCCAGTACTTAGCTCCTCCCACATGTATGGGATCTATGGCTTTATGGATCCCTCAAGGGTCAAATAAAAAACTTGGAGGCAGCTGGGTGGTGTTGGCGCACGCCTTTAATCCCAGCACTTGGGAGGCAGAGGCAGGCAGATCTCTGTGAGTTCCTAGGCCAACCTGGTCTACAAGAGCTAGTTCCAGGACAGGCTCCCAAGCTACAGAGAAGAGAAACCTTGTCTTGAAAAACAAAACAAAAAGAATTGTAAAAAAAAAAAAAAAAAACCTTGGAGGCTGGAGAGATGCTGCAGCAGTTAAGAGCAAAGGGATACTTGGCCCACTAGAGCATGTGACTCTGACAGGCCTTGCCTTTCTCCCCGGTTCCCTCTGTCTTGCTAAAAAACCATTAGATTACATTCCTAAAACAAAACCATGAAGGTCCTTTCCTTTATTCGGATACTTTCCTATGCCTGGCTGAGGATGAGTTCCAAAGTCCAGCAATCAAAAGCCCCCTTTGGTTCACCTAATGAACATGTCCAGTCAAGATATCCCACTACATCCTAGCCCACTCTAACACAGACCTCCCCTTTTCCTCCTCTCAAAACTTACACCTGCAAGGTCAAACAGGTGTTTGGATGTGGTTTGGGCCTAATCTGGGGTCCCAGAGGAAGACCCTACTGTTCAGTCTCCTTCAAAGAACACCTGTTTGCTCTTCCAGAGAACCCAGGTTCATTGGCAGCACCCACACGGCAGATAACAACTGTCAGTAGCTCCAGTTCCAGAGGATTGGATGCCCTCTTCTGGCCCCTAAGTTCACTGCATACATGTGGTACACAGAGACACATGTAAGCAAAGTACCCATACATGTTAAAAATACAAGTAAATAGATTAAAAAAATAAAGTAGACTGTTATACCTGAAAATTGTGAGGAGAAAGGCCAAATCCACAATTATCTAATTAAAGCAAAGTTTAATAAATATTGGCCAGAAAGATGGACACTGGCCAGGTCCATAACCAGAATTCCCAGAGAATGGTGATGAATTAGGTTAATCCGGTGCTCATAAAGGCAAAATCCACATGGTTATTACGTCCAATCAGGGGAAAGAACACCTCCTGAGCACTTCCTGCAGGTGCAACTCCTGCCGGCCTTGTGATCAAGCACATCCTGAGCAGTTGGGGCGACCAATTTTGTTTACTGAAGCGAAAACACAACAGCCCCAGCATTCCAGGAAGATATCTGTCGTTGGGCAAGTGAAGCTTACAAACATTAACTCTCTCAATAATATGATCAAAACCAAGAAAGATTGTTAAAGGCTGTTCTCATCAAACAAATGATCTCCGCTTAGGTGTCCAGCGTCATCCCCCTCTACCCATGATATTTATTGAGCTCTACATTTTTCTCTGCTCCTCTCCCTGCCTCTCCCCTCTCCCTTCAGTCCTCCCCCAAGGTCCCCATGCTCCCAGTTTACTCAGGAGATCTTGTCTTTTTCTACTTTCTACTTCCCATGTAGATTAGATCTATGTAAGTCTCTTAGTGTCCTCATTGTTGTCTAAGTTCTCTGGGATTGTGATTTGTAGGCTGACTTTCTTTGCTTTATGTTTAAAAACCACCTATGAGTGAGTACATGTGATAATTGTCTTTCTGGGTTACCTCACTCAAA